CCAGCTTCCTGATTGGCTGGGAAGCCCGCCCCATGCTCCCTTGTCACAAGTGAAGAGGGAGCATGGAGCCGGCTTCCCGGCCAAACAGGGAGCCGGGCAGCGTGTAATGACTTCCTGATACCGGAAGTATCAAGCTAGGCATCGGAGCATTTGGGCGAATATATATATTATATACACACATTTTAATTCATTTGTTTTGTATACTATAATTGTATCAGACAAGTACATTAATAAACAAATGAAAGCTGCTATCTAAAAGTTGTGGTGCTTTTTGCATTCTGATATATAAAATGAAGCCTTTAACTTGCATAGCTGGAATACTAATTACATGATCAGTAATCACTGATTACCAATTGATAGTTGGGACCGAACCCGTCAGTGACAGCCTATTCTGAAAGCAAGCTGCTGCAAGAAGGTGACAGCTAGCAGCTGTACAAGGGATCATGTTCGTGGAACGTTTATATGCTAACTGAATCCAGGAATGGGTTAACCAGCTCTGTACCTTATCAAACAGCGCTATATACAACGAAAAGCCAAAGCGGTCCTTCAGGCTGATTTTGTCGGCCAATGCGTTGCAGAGCTCCTTCGCTGTGGTGGCCGAGTCAGTGAGGAGTGTTTTTGTTGTTCCGTCCATGAACGTCACCGGTAACATGATGGGCTTCTTGGACTTTGTAGCCTGGGGAGGTATGGGGAAGGAAATATGACAGAAAATGATAGAAAACACTATGTGACCTATGGATGAAATGTGGGCCAACAAAGAGAGACCAATCAGAAGTCTTCATTCATTTTCAACTGCAATGAGAGTAGAAAGTTGATTGCTGCTGAAGGCCCTAAGTATACAGTGTGTGAAGCATCAGATAGGAGAGAAAAGGCTCCATTTATAAAGCTCTACACAAGGATAAGGGTCTTCATTTTCAGCCTTATGAATTTCATTATTAAATCTTAATGGACTGGCCCTAAGGGTTACTTCACACCATCAGCAGTGCGTTCCGGTCCGCTACCGCAATGCGGGCAGTGCGTTCCAGTCCAGAACATGACCGGAACGCACTGCTGATGGTGTGAACTAATCCTTATCCTGGTATTTCAGCTTTGAGAGTTGAGTTCCATGTCTTTCAATTTTTGCATTTAATAGTGTTTGGAAAATTTTAAAGCCAACAGCAGCTAAAAAGCTACAAGTGAATGGGCTAAGTGAAATTGTCTCCTTAACCACTTCCTGACCGCAGTGTTTACACCCCCCTTCCTGGCCAGGCCATTTTTCAGTGTTCAGCGCTGCGGTACTTTGGCTGACATTTATTCCGTCATGCAACGCTGTACTGAAATTAATTTTATAACATTTTTTTGGGGACAGATAGAGCTTTCTTTTGGTGGCATTTATTCACCACTGGGGGTTTTTTATTTTTTACTATATTAAGGAAAAATTACAGAAAATAAAAAAAACAAAAAACTGTTTCCCCTATATTAAATTATAAAACATTTATTATTACCCATTTTTTGGCAAAATATAAAAGACGGCGTCACGTCGGGTAAATATTCACCAAACACGTCAAGCCTTAAAATTGCACGCGCCCACGAAACCTCAAAAAACGACAATACCCAAAATTAGCCATAGGCGACACTTTAAAAGCTTTTACCGCTCATCAGTTTAGTGTTATCAGTGATTGATGGCCCTAGACTTATTGCTCTCACTCCGACGTTCGCGGCGATAGTAACATGTGTAGCGCAATTGTCGTGTATTTTTTATTTTTTGTAACTTTTTTATATGTGACTTTTATTTTACTTTTTTTTACACTTAACGTTATTGCTATCACATAGGGGGATAACAATAGTATTAATATTTCTATATGGTTTTCTGTGGTAGTCGTAACGAATATTCGTTCGTAAACTTATCCGAAACTATTTCAGATTTCGACCAAATTTCAGACCCGAATCCTGAAATAATGAAATGTCCGAAATGAACCCAATTTTTCCAAAGCGTACATGTCTACCCAATGCCATTGTTTTTCAGTGTAGGTTTTGATTGGCTAGGGGGAGTAATACTAATTGTTCTTACTGCTTACATACTGAGACCTGAGGTTATTTTTAGGAATGGAACTCTTATGTAGACGGATGGTTGTGGTGATTTACCTGAAGTTCCAGCCAGCTAGGTGGCTGTGTCCTGGTGCCATTAGCAAACGTCCTCCGCAGCCGCTCCTCGCAGTATGGCGCATATCCTGGGGGGCCGCCACTGATGAAGTTCCTCAAGTACTACAAAAGACATGAAGCCAGAAGGTAAAATAGTACACTGTATGTATGTGTGTAAAACTTCACTGGCACCTACTTTACCCTCCTACCCATCATTTGTGGTGACAGGTGTACTTTAAATCAATCCCATTGCTTGTGAATAGAAGACCTCCTATAGGGATTATCCTGCAGAATTTATTGTGAAACATTTTTATAGTCCCCTATCGGAGCGGGGAGGGGGGAATCCAGCCCCTCCCCTGTCACGGCTCTCTGCCGTGACAGGTGAGCGAACGCCGGTATGTGTTCGCTCACCTCCCGATCTACTGAACCGACCTGTGACAGTCTCATTGTCACAGGTCGGCTAGAACTATGAGGTGAGTGAAAAGCACTCACCTCATAGTTCTCCTTTAAATTGCAATCACATACAAGCGTAAACAAGAATTAACATGTATTCAATTTTTTAAAAATAACATTATTTTTACATGGTTGCCCATTCACATCAGTCCCTGCCCTCAAGGAGCTTACCTATCTGCATACATACAGGGCCAATTTAGATAGGAGGCAATTAACCTTCCAGCATGTCTTTGGAGTGTGGGAGGAAACCAGAGTAAACCCACACAAGCAAACGCCTTGCAGATAGTGACCTGACTAGGATATGAACCAGGGACACCCGAGCGCTGCAAGGCAGAAACGCTAATCACTACGCCACTGTGCCGCCCGTAGCTCAGATATCTACTTACTTCTGATATAATATCCTCTCCCTGTTGCCACTGACGCTTGAATTGTTTTCCACATTTGAGCAAAACTGGCTAACGTCAGTGCAGAGCTTGTCAAGTACTTTAGCAAACCACCAACACACCTTTTCTGTACTGATAGCCCTTTACACGGTCTACTGAAATGTCCCGGCGGATTCCAACGCAGTGAAAAACACATTTTAAAGTTGCTATTTAGAGATCAAAAGTTGACCACCAGAGCACCACCAAAGACTATCAGATAGGGTGAAGGATAACTGGTGGTTTATAGAAAAAAGGCGGCACGATATGCTAAGCTTAGATCAGGAGAGACATCCTAATTGTATGTGCACCCCTGCCAAATGTCAATACTGTGTAGAGGAAAGTCATTGTGCAGGGGATTGGAGGCATCTTGCACACTTTACTGATTACTTGTAAACTAGGTCTAAATGGGTCTGTTAAAGGGTTCTTCAATGATGCCAGTGAGGCTTTATATGTGTAAGGATGGGGTATTCTTTTCTAAATTCCTTTTTGTAATTTTGGGAATTCCCAGCTTAACTGTACATCAGCAGGAAAGTTTTTCTCAGCTCAGAGTGTATTTTCTCTGTCGCAGGTTGCCCGAGCTTGCTCCTGCAGGGTGTGCTACAGCAGGGTGCCTCACCTTTTTTTTTAGTCATGGCACCATTTAACACATACGTTTCATGAGTATGAGTTCTAACTTAAAATCTTCACCACAATACAACTGCGGAAGTATGGAAGACGGTGGGAGGCAGAGCAGGTCTGGACAGAGGTGGACTATCCTCTTCTGAATGCTAGGGGAGGTCCTGGATGCCACCCACTCTGGATTAGTGTCATGCATTTTCATGGTGATGGTGGCTCCCTGCACCATGGAAATGCATGACACTGTGCAAAAATTCTAAAACACCCCTGGCAAAACCAGAAGGCATCTCAGGGTTCCACAGCACTCTGGTTGAGAAAGACTGTGCTAGAGAAATATGACTATGCTATGGATATCTGCTAGCCTGGTCATTCAGTGGATTCAGAGAACCTTCTGAGGCATGCTGGGAAAACTATTAAGCCACTTCATGTTCTGTCCCTACCCTCCGGAGCTTTTGCCCTGTGAGAATGGCACCTATCATTTCTGAAGAACCAGAGAAAAGAACCAGGCCAATGTTTCTGGGACTTCACTCTAAGTAAATGGACTTCAAGCATTTGTAAGCCCACTACCGAGTAGCTGAAGAGCCGTTTCCCTTTAGGTTATGTTTGCTTGGTTACCAAAAGCATGACATAGGTTTGCCACATTTCTTGCAAGGGCAAATATTGCATATAACTGACCTTGACAAATTTCTCAGAGGGTGCAAAGCATCCAACGCAGAGGGACATCAGGATCCAGCCACGGGCATGGCTGCTTTTTGAAGGATTCTGGGTAAGCTGTTTGCATATTTGGCAGTAGATTTCATCCCTGCGGAATTGAAATACAAGATCAGTTCAGCATACATTGATAAGAGTGCTATATACACTATATAAAAAACACTAGAAGACCTTGGTGACCACCTTGTCAAAATGCTAGCTGACTTGTTGTCATCCTGATCCTCAGGCTTTCATATTCCAAGAAGTTAAGATAGGAAAATACTGAAACCGCAGCCCGGGATCAACCCTTG